AGGGGACCTAATTCTTACTTATTCTCTGTTTGAACAAAGCTTAGCAAACAGGTTTTTTACCGTTGACCCAGCAAACACCCGGCGGGGACATAGTAAGAAAATTTTCAAGCTCAGGGCACACACATTCATCAAACAAAACTTTTTCATTTCGGGTAGTAGCTGCGTGGAATGACCTTCCTCTGACGGTTGTACACGCTACTTCTGGAACCCAATTTAAACCACTATTAGACATTTATTTATGCGAATCCTCGAGCTGGCAAGCCTACTGTCCCGCGCTGAGAACATAAAGAGCAGTGCTACACCCTTTTGTCACTTGTGCCTTTCAGGTGAACGACAGCCACTGACCGACAAGAACAAAAGCGACCCGAGAAACTTGGGCAAAAGCCTCGATCCTGTGTATCAATCCGTGGATCCGTGAATTATGACCAATCACATAAGGGGTCAGCTTATTGGCCGTTGCTATGTCCAACGATGTGCCGTAGAGGAATTTGGGTATCAAATCTGCCCAACACTGACAAAGCTACAAATCTGTGGATTAGGCTCCCGCTGTCAGTGATTTCATCAATCGGTACTACATATTCGTCTTGGAAACGTATCTTCAGACCTCAGCAAATTATTCTTGACGCAACAGGTTTTTTCCATAGCATTCTTACTTCACGAACCTCCCACACTACCCCTACACAGTGACTAACTAGTGAAACGTCCAGAAAGACGAAGCACATTACCTTTACTTCCAACTATCCTTCGATCCGGCCAATCGGTTATTTCTCGTTACAATTCTGGATTCATGTTATCAGTCGACGGGTCGTACTGTGTCGAGTTGTTCTTGAGGGAACGTACCTTAGAAGCCCGTAGGAGAGTTCTACGATAACACCTGAATACAGCTATCGGTTAGAGGACTCGAACCCTTCTCCCCAACGCAGTAAAGCAAACGTCATTCGACTGCTGGCGCAGATCGAATGAACTGCAAACTGCTCGTGTGATGCTCACCGAATCACTTGAGCGCCTTGTTTCACAGAGTATCGGCTGCGCAAAACAACACGTAATAAATATAAGAAGGGTGGGATTTTGGGGGCTGGGCTGGTTTCTGTGTAGACCGTAAGGCGGATTGTCCTCTGGTAGTTGGTTTGAGCTGGCGCATGTGGTCTCGCAGATAGTCAGCGTAGTTGCCAGAGTTGGAAACCAACGGAGTTTCGGGGACGACCAACTCACCAGGTGGTCGGAGTCAGCATCCGTAAAACAACCGTATGGCAGACATATTGGCTTTTCATCGTTTTTCAGAACTTCACAAGGACTAACAAAGGGCTGTTGCCCGCTCCTTGCGCTGAACTGAACTGTCCGCCAGTTACTGGATCGTAAGGTGTTGTCCCGACGTGCTTTCGTCATAGCGTGGCCAGTAAGTTGTCAGAACTCAAAAGGGACCTCGATCTGCATTAACTACAGCGAAGTAACCGAACTGAGTAGCCCACTTTTCAAGAAAAGTGGGTAGTCGTTTTTCATGTGCAACCAAGTATTGACATTGCTTCTGGCTATCCAGAAAACAGGTCGATGCAGGTAACAGATATATGACGTTCTTGGGTCGTAATGTGCTGAGGGAACTACCTGCATTGGGTAGGGAGGAATTGCCGAGGGCACTCTTGATATTCCGGTGTACTCCTACTCGTTGGCAGTGATGGCACGCACGAGTGCACTCGCGAACTTAGGATCGTAGAAAACGTGCGGTTACTATTCTGACGTGTTTGTTCCTAAGTGAGCCGGAACATGCTGCAGATTTTATACTAGACCTTGGATTCGAGGATGAACCAAAGGCCGATGTTCCCCCCGTAAAGCTTCGCAAACAACGCTTCGTAAAAAAAGTCGCATCCTTTCGGTGCCTAACTGTCATACCACCAGAGGGAAGCACGAGGACCGGGATACTGCCAGGTTCCCCAAGCCTAGACAAGAGAAGTCGGGATGCAGAGGTTGGATTCGAACCACGGACCTTCCGGTCAGTAAATTCGCGCTCTAACCACTGAGCTATATCGCCCCCTCGCACCAGGTTAGCGTTTCGCTGTCGGGTAGTGGAAATTAAGCTGCCTGGCGAGACCTTAAGTTTCGCAGGTGTTTGATCTCTGGATCACTTACCTGTGCTTCAGCAATAGCGTGTTGGTTAGCCGAGTCTGAACACATGCGCTCGTGACAGGGCGTTAGACGCAGTGCTTTCTTGACTCGAGATTTTTCGTCATGCTGTCGATGATGATGATGCTGTGTATCGGTAGTGAATTGTTGAGCGCAAACGAGATGACCGAGCTCTATAGAATACTTGTCAGACCGTACCCTGAGAGCAGGGGTTGGTGATCGGTAAATACTGTAAATGTCCAACCTCCTAACATGTTGAGTATCATTCCTCTAAGTAGACAGCAAGCTGCTGCGGATGAAAACGTCAGTGCAACTCCATTGGCACCAAACATATGGAGTAAAAAGCTAGAGACTGCCACTCCCTTCAACGTATTGCTGTAGAGTGGTAAGACGGCCACTAGGCATCCGTCATTGGCTGAGCTGTTGCCGGGACATGGTGTGTGACATAGATAGACTTCTTGAATTCGTCACATTCTTGGTGAGCGTTGCCAACAAGGATGAAGTTCTTCGTGGTTCTCCGGAGCAAACCGGTGAGGGGCTGCATAAGGCGTGCACAGTTGGGTATAACACTGGTTTTCAAGACGGTCGAGTCGATGTAATTGTCTAAAGGAAGCTGGTTCTGGATAATCCAGAGTGGTTCGAATCTTTTCAGATAATTGCTCGATACCGGTGGTGGTATGCGGTGGCCCAACAACGATACGTGCGCGGAAACAGGGATGATTGGCATGTTCTCCTGAAAAAGTGCGGGGAACACTCAGCTGCATACATGTCTTTGGAATGGATCAACATAATTAGGAAAGAGCTATACGCAAAATGGCAAAACACCTACAACTAAAAGGCCCCCAGACCGAGATTCACTGCTGGTGAGCGTTGGCCATAGTTTGCAATTGGGGTGTCTTTGGAAGTCCGAAAGCCAGATTTCGGTGGCGTTTGTTTTTCAGCCCCTAAGGGTGACATGGCACTCAACTGCGCTGCAGTGTACATCAGGAGGCGAAGAAAGGGAGAACCGTCATGTTCAACGTGTAACCGGGTCGTATTTCACCGGATATGCTGGTTGGCAACCACTCAATTTTTCTGAGGTGCTGGACCGCACTAAGAACACAGCGAGTGGTATCGTGTGGCACTTGCTAGAGCGCTTGTAGCACTAAAAACAACTGTTGGGGCAAGGTTAATGGGTGCGCTATCCGTTGAACGATATTCCATATGATGGTGTCGTGCGTGTGCCTCCTAGCCTTGTGTTTTTGCCAGTTTGTTCTCCACTTTGCTATTTCCTTGGGACTTTTTTTATAGGTCTCTAATTATAATTCATTTAATGCATCGAATTCTGTGTCTTCGGCAGAAATTTCGGGGCATGTAGTGGCGAATGGGGCTGTGACATGCGTAATATGTGCTGCCGACATGCTCTCCACTGTGCAGTCTGCAGAACTGGCAGCGCTTGTCCGTTGATAGTGGCTAACATCTGTCGTACGTAGAGGTCTTAGCCAATTTTCTTGTATTAGTACATCACTGAAGTTATCAGCTATATTTATCGGTTGGCCTACCCGAGATGCCTCCACTCTCCAGCGTAGAAAAGCTAGAGGACATGGCTCTATCCAGGACCAAACGAGGTCGCACAGAGCAGGGACACAATAATACCAGTGTTGACATTGATGCCTCACTTCTGTACAATCAAAAGACCTTAAATTGAAAATAAGATGCGAATGTGTAAGGGACAGACCTGATGCAGGCTTATTGCGAGCATTCTGCGGTGCCTACAACTCATTCTGGAAAGAAACTGAGCACGAACGACACTGACATCGATTAGCTGTTATATATTGCAACGTCTCCAGTCAAGTGCGGGATGTCATGGGGGCTCCATTCTGGAAGGTGGACCTCACCAACAGCAGCTGAACTCTTCGTAATCTCTTTCATGCTGCAAAGTGTTCCAGTGTGGATGACTCATTGCACATGTCTACACCGAGGATTGGGATTCCGCAAGGATCACTATTGAATCAATTACTGTTTCTACTTTGCGTCAGCAATCTATCCGGTGAGAAGTGAATATCACTCCTCGGCACACAGAAGAGTATCTTCAGCGTGATCTCGACAAAGTGTCAAAGTGACCTCGGGCCTCTAAATCGATGCTAAGAAATGCGCGACGGTCGCCATAGCCAGCTGGTCCGCAGGACATTCATTGCATTTTATGCTGGACAACCAGTAGCTTGTAGCCACGATTGTGACGGAAGATCTAGAAATCGTTATATCCCAGAATATAGAAGTGCAGAAGCAGTGCTACCAAGCAGCGAACCATGCATATAGAGCGTTCTTTGCGCTCTGAGCGGTACTGAACACGCGCAACTGGGCTCTTTATTCCTCTCTATTGTGCGTACTCACCACCTCAATCGAATGATGCATGAATGCCTGAGGCCCATACTCAAAGAAAGACATTAAGACCCGTAAAGACGTCCAGCGGCTTACGAAGAGGATGGTGTGTGTGTGTTTGGGGGTGGTTGTAGGGTCTGTCTAATAAGGATTGATAAAGGCCTTATGGACATAGAAGGGAGGCAGTGAAGGGGGCTTTGAAGCTCATTCACTGGCCTTTATGACAGGGTTCTGATATAAGCATATTCCGACTCAGAGCGAGTGAGGTGCCCAGATGCAACCCGTTTACCCTATTCAAACGAAGAGTGAGATTAGAACTGCGTAAGGGCTTAATCAGCATTTGGCTTGGGAAATCGGAATAGGTTACAATAGGAACTCAGTTGAAGCTGGTATGAACGCAAACTGCGAAAGGTTAGCCTCTGATATGATCTAGGACTGGTGCGCGCATACTAGACTCCTTAGAAATATACGCCAGTAGGGGGTTTCTTCACACCCTTTTCTGTCGAAAATTTATGGCGAAGAGTGTAAATGCCATTTTACTCTGGTATGCTTAGTTATATACGATTCAACTGTCACTCCGAATAGTCCTGAGTAAACAGTCTGCCTTTCTGATGACTTGCATGGCCGATTTGCCGCCCGTGTTTTTCTTCTCACATCGAGTTCAAGTCCACCAACCGTAAGGCAGTCATGGGCTCAATTAGACCATGTGGCCACTAATAATCAATTGAGAGCCACAATTAAAGATAACCGTCCCTTCTAGTGTACGCATCTCGACCCCAACTATACCGTTGTGTGAACCCGGCTGTCACTCTGCTTCCCATCCGCGTTACGCGTGCCCAAACATGGCAAGTAGCTCGAGTATCGAGCTGATCTGGCTCAGAAGCTACTGAAAACGCAAAGTCCTGCGGATGATGGAGCGTGCGTAGAGGTTGAGTGAAGACGAATTTAAAAAAGCTATGCTCTCAGCTTTCAGAATTGTTTGTCTAACTATCCGACCCGACTAAGGGAACAGTGAGTATTGTCAGCATCGTCACGAAGAGACTGGACCTTACCGTGGTGTGGCGGTTTGTGTACCTCAGAGACCCATTAAGCTATACTGGGGGTTGTCCGCGCGACACTCACAGAGTCTCTCATACCAGGTTGGTCAATGGTTAGAGGTCTGACGAACACAGTCTCCTGGCCCTCCAGGTTGGGGGTTGGGACATGTATGGCAACTTGTTCCGTAGAAAAGGTAATGCGTTTGCATTTCCCCGCCAAACACCGCTGCCTTGCGGTTAGGTTTTTGAATCAAAGGCTTTGGTTGAGGACCCTAATCGTCCTCCTGTCTAGGTGTGGGCGCCCTGGCAGTATCCCAGCCCTCGTACGACCATGACCTACACAACTAACAATATTCTCATGCCACATCGGCCGTCGCGTGGTGCCATTAGCCGGGTCGCCTTACTTGCTGCATACAGCAGGGCGGGTAAGCGAAAACATGCTACTGATGACGCCTTCCTTCTTTCACTTTCACGTTTTCCGTCTTCCGCCCTCCCCGCCCAAATTTGAATACTTTCTCCGCAGGTACCAGCTCTAGGACTGACCGTTTTGCTCGCCCTGCATCACACTCAGCTGCAGCTTCTGCACGTCCGAGTTCAGTTACAACTCTAAACACTTCGAAGTCTGTTTTCAAACCCCGAAAGCCTGTCTACTTAGCCACCTTCAATGTTCGCACACTGAAGGAAGCAGGTCAACAGGTGGCTCTTGCGCGTACGCTGGATTCCCTCTGTATTGATGTATGTTGTCTGTCAGAAACAAGGACGCAGGACGCAAGCACTGTAATCGAACTGACTGCCCCCTCACTCTCTTCCAGGTTCCGACTGCGCATCTCTGGCGATGCAGAGGCCGCTGCAGCTGGATATGCTGGGGTGGATATTGTATTGAGCGAACGAGCGGAAGCGTCTCTGCTTGATTGGATACCCGTTCACAGTCGCCTCTGTGCGGTTCGTTTGGCAACATCGGTGAGAGAACCTAGAGGAAGTGAAGTTCATCGCACCTTGTTTGTTGTTTCTGCTTACGCCCCAACTGACTGTAGCTCTGAATCCGCCAAGGACAGTTCCTATGACGCTCTAGGTGCCCTTCTACAGCAGGCTAAAAGCTCAGATATCGTTGTGGTTGCTGGTGATATGAACGCCCAGGTAGGTAGACTAAGCGCTGCTGAGACCCGATTGGGTGGTCGTCTTGGTTTGGACACGAAACGCACGGACAACGGAGACCGGTTACTTCAGATGTGTGCCGATCACAGGCTGTTCCTTTGCAGTACGAATTTCCGGAACAGC